TCATACCGAAGAGAAGAAAATATCGATATAGAAAATATATCGAAAAATATCGAAGAAAATATATTTGATAATATTGGACGTGGACGTCTTGAGGAAGCCGTACGACGCTCGTTGACGTACCTCAGCTTATTATTCCGCCGTACTAAGGAAGAACGCCGCATGAGCCTTCAGGCGTTGCCAAATTTCCTCTTGCAAATCACTAATTTTCAGGTACATTTTTTAATACATTTCTGCCAATTTCTCAGATAATTATGTTTGTAATTTGATCTAAAATTTCTAAAAATTTCAAGAAAAAATATTCATAATTTTCTTCAACAAATAAACATTTTATCGAAGGAAATTTGGCAACTCTCGAATGCTCATACGGCGTTCTTCCTTAGCACGATAGTATTCACGTGATATTACGCAGCGGTGACTCTTGAAAGTTGGCACCACTGTTTTCCCCGCATTTATAGGTATGCGAAACAATCGATTCTTGGGAAGGCAGCTTGTCTCGCCTAAATCGATATTTTTAATGGATATAAATGGAGGAAAACCGGTGTTTTCAACTTGCAAAATTTCCCTGAAATCCCCCCTTTGATAAAATGCCCAATTTTTTAGGATGCTTTTGCATCACATCATTCAAATTTTTCCGAGAGTTTCATCCAGAACATGTGAAAATTTTGAGCAAAAGGTCATTACTTCCATCAAGAAATATTTTCGAATGTTCAAACGGCAAGTTTCCTCACACTACGTAGTAATTTATAATGCAATAACCGTAGAACGCAAAACGTCATTACTTCCATCAAGAAATATTTTCGAATGTTCAAACGGCAAGTTTCCTCACACTACGTAGTAATTTATAATGCAATAACCTTAGAACAAGGCGAAAGATGCGGGATAAAAAAACAAAAACGTGTGCGCAATTACGCTGTGAGGAGGAACTGATGTACAGAATTTCATTTAAAGAAACAATGTGGACACAGGATTTAAATGTTACATAATTCTCTTCGATTCAATTTATAAGTACATAGTTCCCTTTAGGATATTGCAAATTACAAAAGAGCATGATATCCATTGCAACATTTCAAAATTGCCGCTAACATTCTCTTCGCCACGTACATCTAGTAAGCGCACTTACATTGCGTGATTTTGTGACTGGGACGGTAAAAATACTGTAAAACACGGTGTATTCTATTTTGAAAACACGGGCATGAGTATGAGTCGTGGGCATAATAAATTTACCTTTCATTCTTCTTTCTCTCTCAGAGCACGCACTCTGTAAGAAGAAGAAAGTTCACAGGTCCGCGGTTCTCCTGGCAAGAATGTTTTCTATCAAAAAAGCTGCGGCGTTGACAAATTAACGCACGAAAGCGAATACGAAGCACGAAGCCAGGAAACATACCGGCTCGACCGGGAGACTAAATAATGTGAAGTGCAACAGTTTAGTCAATTTAATTAGGAGCATCTCGCGTTGCTTACGTAATGCGCTGCTCCCGAATTGTGCATGAATCTCTCATTTTTCTCTTGATCCTTTATAAAGTAAGCTATCAACTGAAAGAGGTCAGAGCCAGAGCAAGCTGCATCTGACAGCTTTTCAAAGCCAAAATTAAGGATCCATCAAGGACTTTTAAAATACCTAATCAAGGATGTACACTCTCAGATATCAATAAAAACACATTAAAATAAAAAAAACAAATGGGTTTACAAGACTTAGGAGAAATAAAACAAACCAGGACGTTTCAGGCCAATTACATGCCCATTTTCAACTGGAACAAGAGCTAAAAATGTAAAAATTAAAACAAGAAAATGAGGATGGAACTGACCAAGGTAAGAATCAGTGAAAACTCCGGAGTAAACTCTGGTGCAACCAGGAGTTTTCACTGATTCTTACCTTGGTCAGTTCCATCCTCATTTTCTTGTTTTAATTTTTACATTTTTTAGCTCTTGTTCCAGTTGAAAATGGGCATGTAATTGGCCCGAAACGTCCTGGTTTGTTTTATTTCTCCTTAATTGTAACCCTTAATGTAAACCCATTTATTTTTGTATTTTAATGTGTTTTTATTGTTGTGTGCATTCGGGCTATTGTGTCTCATCTCTCTCTTGTCACTCTCAGATATCTAAAATTCATATGAAAACGAACCTTATAATTTTTGAAAGTCAATACCCTAGATTGTATTAGGAAATAGAAGGATTGATGGCAAAAATTAACCCTACTGGTGGGCTTATTGTTACTCCGCGATGAATTTGTCGACGATCAAAGTTTGACGAACCCAACGCCTGGATTGTTTCATCGATATCGCATGACCTGATACGATTTAGCAATGCACTTTATCGATCAAGATCCAGGGATAACTGGCCACTGAAGGTCATAAGACTCAGTATTTCAAAAAAAGTAAAATATTTTCAAAACACTTCCGTACGAAATTCACGTCTCAAATTACAGATAACTATTCTCACGTGTTGAATAAATTAAAACGCTGTCAGTATTGTTTGGAGCTATCGTCATATTTAAATTCACCACTCATTTTTCAAGGGGGAAAAATGGGTCACCAGACAAGGTCTGAATCAGAAAACAAGTCAGTTATTTTCTCTTCAAAATCTGACGTAGAAAACGATTCATACAACGAGAAGTTCGACCGGAGGTCAACTCTTAATCAAGACATTAAAAATTAGTTTCAAGACAGAGCGAATGGAAGTTGGTTTTTAAAAAAATGACGTCATTTGGATTTCACATCTACGAATACATAACCATCTGTGCAACATATTCGCCGAGAGAGGCCGACTGACTAATGAATGATACCACTATTCGATCACGAGGGAGCTTGCGTTGCCTATACCAAAAATTGAAGGCAAATTGACATGACTGCCAAATAACTGACAGCCCTTGTGTACAAAGCTCCGATGTGTATACGAGCGCAAAAGAACTCGAGTTGCCTACACTAAAAATTGAAGGCAGACTGATATGGCGTTAAAGTAACCTCCATCGGTTCGGCAGAAAGCTATTTTCTTTGTGCGTTTTAAGAAAAGCGAGGCATCTCACGATAGTGCCACTTTTCGAGCACAAGGGAGCTCGTGTTGCCGTATACTGAAATCGAAGGTAAATTGATATGGCGTTATTGTAATTTCCACGTGGATATACGATCCGAAATTTGCCCTCCACTTTCTGATCTCAATGCCATACTATCAAAATATGTTCACGAAATTCCTTTCTTTTACAAATAATCTACTCTCATGAGTCACGTTCATGTACACCAAATGAGACCGAGTGGTAAGCTCACCTCGACATACGTTGCTTTCGATTTTCTTAGCTAGCTGGAAGTCTGGACCGACTGATTTAAATGTAAACAATAATGCCGTACTAAGGAAGAACTTCGTATAAACCTTCGTGCGTTGCCAAAGTTCCTTTGAAAAACACTAGATTTCAAGATCATTTATGAATATTTTTCTTCCAATTTCTCAGGTGATTTAGTTTGCCATTTGATCTAAAAAGTCTGAAAATTTCAAAGAAAAATATTAACAAGTTTCTTCCAAAATGAATATTTTCCGAGACGAAATTTGGCAACTCTCGAATGTTCATGCGGTGTTTTTCCTTAGCGTGGCAAAATAAACGCCTGTGCCATATTTACACGATGATTTTGGACATTTTTACATCGTCCAATTCCTCAAAAAACTAGTGTTAAGGAAATATATTAGAGGCTCATTTCGACTTGACATCGCATGTTTCAGCAAGCTGGAAGTCTGAATGAACTGATCAATTTTAATATAAGCAGTAAACGTCAATATCATATCGATGGCTGAAGTGCGAAACCACGCATCTCCGCTGCGCAGTTTTAAAAGCTCTGCTATTTCTTTATTTTTCCGAAAAGAAACAAGTTAACTTTATAGCTTGAAATTTCTGTGGACTTTCCTTATAATAAAGATGAAAAATCAAGGAAGTTTCCATGACAATAAGTTGGCTAGTTCTCCATTGTAAGAGAAAAATATGACAGGAAGTCTGCACCGCCGAAAACGGAGATATGTGGTTTCGCACTTGGGGCATGGATATCAGGAATGCCATAATTTCTTCATCTTCAAATTCCCTGATTCATCCCAAATTATTTTTGCTACCCTGACTCGCGACTATATACGCTGACTTTGCTAAACGCTAAATCGCTAAACTTTGGACAAAATTTCCTCGCTTGGAGATCAAATTAAGGAAAAATACCTTCAATAGCTGGTTAAAAGATGCCAAAGGCAAAGCCATAAAAAAGACGAGAAGAGGTAAACAGTTGGAAGATCAGTAATATGTTTCAGTGATTAGCAGATATGTCAGAAGTTCCCGGACTTTTTCTACGAATTCCCTGACTATGTCGCCTGAATTCCTTAACTTTTCCCGCGAATGCCTTGACTTTCCCAGTAAATTCCTTGACTTTCCCGACGAATTTTCTGAATTTTCCCGGTCGTCGCAAATTCCCTGATCGTCCCTGATTTCTCCGTTTTACCAAACCTCCGGCAACCCTGCAATATTTACACTATGATTTCGGAAATTTTCAAATCGTCCGATTCCTCAAAACTACTGATAAAGGCGGCATACGAGACAATGCTCGAATTCTTCCCCGGTTTCGCGGTGCATTGTGCAACAGCGTTGATAAGCGGGGAGCGAGCGGCCTGAGTCGGTGTCGCGCAGTCGAGCAGTCCCGTTCGTGTACTCATTCGTCGAGGTCCGTGCGTTGTGTCGTGTGCTCATGTGTCGAGTGTCCCTGCAACGAGCCCTCCCCGCGGGCTATCTTTAATCCCCTCCGGCCCGACCCTCCACCGGGCCTCGCGGCTTCCGATCTAAATGCGAATCGGCCACCGTTCCCGCGAAATTGCCCTCCACGCACCGCGTCCAGATTACTACAAGGTCGTCTACGAGACTCAGCAGAGAGTTTTGAGCTTACTCAATCCCCACGTGACTGATATGTGAACGTCTTTTGGGTAATTGGTGAAATTGTGACTGCTTTCGGAGAGAGACTCATCAGGGAGTGATTTACGAGGGGAAAAAAACGGGAGGTCGACTTGAACGCTAGACTTTTTAAAGGTAGGTGACCAAAGATGGAAAATTGCATGAGATTCATTCGCGCGAAATTTCATCCTCAAGGACCCCGCACAGGCAGACTTTTTATGAGGATGCGTACCACGATCGAATTCCATTTCTTTTTATTGCATAATAATCGTCTTTGGATGCTGATCAAAAGTCATCGCGTAGAGCCAACTTTCTACGAGGCACCGTTTTCGAAGAATTTCGCACAATCCGCGGTGGAAGTTTGGATAAGAGAGAATTTGCACACAAAAAATTTTATATTGCTTTATCTGAGAGTGCCTACTGAGCTGAGTTCGCAGTATTTTTCATGATTTTTTCCTGACATGGGATATGGTAGAAAAATTGATCTAAAAGTGAGAAAATTTGCCGCCTTGCGACGTCAGTTGGCGGCATTTTCCATTAAAACACATGTATTTTAGCAGATTAGATTATTTTGTAATATTTTCTCCAGTAATTTTCCAATTTAGAAACGAAGGATATCCTCGAGCTCAGTTTTTCTAGTGGTATCAATTTGAACATGAAATTCACAAAATTTCAGACACCTGTAAATTCTCTATTACTTGCGTAAGTCAGACCAGTGCGGCGCGGCGGTGCCTATCTTTTAGAACTTGCTGAAAACGAGGAAAACCTGGGAGTCTTATCTCGTATACCGCACGACTTTTCGTGTCACCGTTCAAATCAGATTCTTTCTCTCTCCCACTTTTCTCCTTACCTATCACCGGATTGAGTTCTCCTTCTTTAAAATCGCCTCGCTGGCCACACTCATTCAAGTAATTGTCGAAAGTAAGTAATAAATGAAAACTACCATGAACGCGGAAATTTTAAACCGAACAGGAAACGAGGTCGAGGAGGACGTTATGAGTTTATTGGAGCCACGTGGTATACTGATCATTTTTTGATAACACCCAAATAGGATGGGTATACTGATCATTTTTTGATAACACCCAAATAGGATGGGAACCCTGCTAATGTATATTATGATCCCGATCCGTGCATGGAGAGTTTGGCCAGAGAGGTGGACTCTCCATGCAGCGTGCGGGATATCCCCTCTATCACGGCCTCAACTTTGAGTGCTTTTTTTGAGCTTAGGAGTTGCTTTCAGAGAAAACAGTGGTATCATCCTGTTCCTCGCAAACAAATTTACGAGGAAAGTGCATTTGAGTCGCAAGTCTCCGACGCATTTACGAACTCCATGCACAGCCATCGCGCGCGAATTATTACAAGGTCGTCCGTGTTCCAGAAAACGAGACCGAGGAGGAAGTTTTCAATTCACCCAATTACCACGTGACTGATATATGAGCGTATTTTGGGTATGATGTCGGTGAAAATTTGACCGTTTTCGGCGTGAGGTTCACCAAAGAGCGATTTTTCAATAAAAAAAAGCGAAAGGTCAACTTGAGCTAAAAAGTTTTTAGCCTATAAGGTGGTTTATAATACTGCGTGTTATCGCAGAGAGCCACAAGTCCGGAGAAAATGGAAGAGTTCCACCTGGAGAGGAAAATGTATCCAAGTGGAAAATTTGCAATGCGATATTTACATTTTATCGTCGATTATGAACCCAAAAGACTTTTAAAACTATTTTCGGACGATACCCCGCGCGGTGTGAAAAAGTCATTTCCAAAGGTGTTCATCTGGCTGCGATTCCAGTGGAAAGCGAGGGAGATTGACTTGATCGAAAGAGTATTTTTAGGTCAATGGTTTATTATATAAAAACCCAAATAAGCAAGTTACCTGTAACTATGGTGTCGTTGCCTCGATCGGGCTGTGCTGTGTTGCCAATTGTTGGAGGATAGGTTACTTGCCCGGATGTGGCTACCGCCACTCATGATACTGCACTTAGAAATCCGGAGTGCGCTTCTCTCCGGAGTCTATTTTTCCCAGGAGGAGTGAAATTCACTTCGTTGAAGCGGTATCCATTTCGCAAAAAGAGGACGTTTCACTCATAAAAATCTGAATCTCATCTTCTGGCATAAACCTTAAGGGGGTAAAGGTTTTATTTTGACCTATAGCACTCGCCTCTGCAGTCTGGTAGTTTAACCCTCGAATATTCGTTTATGTACCATGTGCGAGTAATTTTCGAGCGATTTTTAGTTTAAAATCTTGGGTGAGCCAGCGTGATCTCAGCTCGGAGACCAATTAGAAATTGGGATAGAAGGAGAGGGCATGAAATTCGAGAAGATATGAGTTCATGCGAAAATCCATGCAAATATCTGAATTCCGCTATGTTTGTACCTCTTCCTAAAGTTTGGACCTTTCGATGCCATCCATTGTTTCGGTTCATATTGCGACAGATGAGCTGAGTAAAATTAATCATAAATAAAATGTGACAGAAAAGCTGCAACTTCGCAAATATCACTGCCGCAGGTGAATTTTCAAAAACACATGCTCAATGGCGGTGTTGCAAAATGTACACGTCAAAGAAAAGTAGGAAACTTGTTTTTTCCGAATGAAAAATGTTTTATTACCTGAAATGAGTAAATGAGTATTGTTCTGGGGTTGTTAAATAAGTGTAAAAAACCGATCCTTTCTCTTTCTGTAAAAAAAAAAAAAAAAAAAAAAAAAAAAAAATTGTGCGTTTGGGATTCGAAAACGTAGCAAACCAAGTTACTCATTTCAAGTCTCGATATACAATTCACGAGTTCCTAGGTTCACCAACCATCGACGATCTATAGATTTCATTGCTATTTAGTAAGTAAAAGCCATCCTAAAGCTATATTCTACGCCCAAAATTCGCACGCAGTTTTGTCGCCATCCAAAACAAATCGACCACCTTAAAAAGGAAGCGAGACGATTAAGACGATTTTGAACGTAAGGACAGGTTCCCCTAAAACATGTCAAGTATGTTGGTAAACAGATAGATAATTCTCATACTTATAGTGAATAGTTGACTTTTCTTTATTCCACTCCTTGTGCGTGTATTTCAGTGTGCTTTGATTATATTCAAAGTCGCACAATCTTGGCAGCACTGCGAAGCATACACATTGCCTCAAAAAAGAATGACGAAATTTAGGGATAACCCTAAATTTCCAGTACAAATAAGTTGAACCTAGACTTAGCCTTACCTGTCAGGATCTCTGAAGCCGTCCTGTATTCCTTCACGTTCGTATCGTTGCAACTCGTTCTGTCCTCCTTTTCCGTGATCGATGGAAACTATTTCGGCACCGATGAACACTTCCGGCGAGAAAAAAACGAATGGACATTCCAAAAGAGGAACTCTGCGTGGTTTCATTTTCATAAATTTGCCTTGTTGCTTTTGCAACAAAATGAACAATCGCACAAAGGACGTTTGACTCCTTCACAGAGAAACTGAGACTCCGAATTTCGAGTTAAACTGAGCTAGAAACAAACAAACACAAAGAAACACCCCATGAAAACAGTGATTGAGTAAGTACGTAAATAAGAAAATACTCGTGAGAATATAAATAGTGTGCACATAGAAAGGTAAACTACAGACAACAATCGCGGCGATGTATAGAATGGCGTATTTCTCGGCTGTGCAGGATATGTTGCATCAGCGCGGATTGAAGGCGTTTTTAACTCTTGGTTCTGTTTCGACACGGCACCGTCATGGAACACTCTGTCTTAGTAATTGTTTTTAGTTTATTTATTTATTATTCCTTACTACGTACAATGCATCGATGCATGTTCTATGAATTAAAGCTATACCATACAATTATAAATTAGGTACAAAAACATAAAAGATGCCACAGTATAATTCCACTACTTGTACACATTTCGCAAACCTATTGGTTGCATTTTGCAAACAGAAACTAACAGGATTGAAAAGTAGCAAATATTGCTGCAGGTTCCAAGTCTTACGACTTCAGTGTGCGAATGCTAGAAGTTTACTATTGCAATATTCAATGTAGTCTAATCGATGCCAACTACCTGCTTGAGGAACGGACATTGTGCGAAAGGGTTTGTTGCCTCAACTTACAATAAATACAGAGTTAGACAGAAAAGAACCAAGTCACATTTTGGCAAAAATAATTTAAGGATCGTTTACAAATTGGCTAGCCGCATAGTTCCTCCTGTACAAAATCAAAAGAAAAAAATATTTCGAATGTGGAAATAATCATTTAGGATAACATCTAAAATTGAGCCATATGGAGGAATAAAACCACGAACGTCTTCTTCTCGGCTTGTTTCAGATTTGACTTGGTTCCTTCCTCTTAAACTCTGTCCAAATGGCACATCTGTGCACGATATCTTTGTGAACGCAGGGGCGGGCGCTTTTAAAAATGGACTGCATTTAGCAGAAAGGAGTGAAGCCACATCAGCCATTGCCAAATTTAACTGGACAATTTAATTTTTTACAAGAGCGCGTTTTTGCGGATTCCTTCGAAAATGTTAAGGAATTTGTTAGTACCATGCAGAAAATTAATTGTTTGCACAAAAATCCCCACTTAAAGTTGGCAATGGCTGATGTGGCTTGTTTCCTTTCTGCGTAACGCGAGCCAAATAACTCAGAAAACATGGTTCCTCTTAGCGAAAACACCCTGATGATCTTTGAAATCTCCACAGGTTCGCAGTACTGTTAAAAAAAGTCCAGTAACGGAAAATGAACTTTCTGGTTGGCGGTTATGATCGAGGGACCTGCCTCGGACCAAGTTGATGACTTCCGCCAGGAATGAGATCGCGGAGTAGATTCCGGCACCTGGTCGTGGTTGTATCGGTTGGCACGTGTGTCTGGATTTTGGCTTTCGCGTCGACCCTCTACCAAGAGGAGAGTGATCCACAACCCGAGGACTCTGGAAAATGGTACGCGTGGAAACGTCTCTCACAACTTATGACAAGCGATGAAACGGCGAATCTCTCTCCCAATTCACCCCAGGTGGCTCAAGGTGAGACCAGATATGGACTACAATTGGCCCGCGTCAGGCAGGAAGGGACCAACCCACATCATCTATTGCTAAATTTGATTGGCCATTTTAATTTTTAACATAGGAACGGCTGAAACGCCTGGAATGAAACGCCTGGAATGAAACGCCTAGCTCGGATACAGCTATTCGCGCTCATGGGATGTGCGTGTTGCATGTATAAAAATTGAAGGCGCTCTAGTTTCCGTTGCGTTCAATACTAACAACTAATCACGACGCGCTCGATTAGATTACGTGCGCCTAACACCACACGTATTTTTCATGTTAGCAGTTTTAAACTTTCCACCCTGTGTCAAAGGCTTAAAAAATGTAAAAAGTACCATATCTCGAGAAACTTTGTTACAGCTAATGTGGACGTTAAAAGCGCCCACGGTAAGCATTATAAACTTGCAATTAGTTCTAACAATCTCCTAGAAAACCTAGAACACCTGCTGTTTGAATGTCCATTATACATATGTATATCAAAACATCAGAGAGCACAGTCCCCTTAGATATCCAAAAGAACTAAGCTCAATTCTATAATGGGATTCTGAGAAAAATCCCTTAAATTATACCTCACGGAAAAAAATAAATTGCTGATTTAACAATTAAATTGCTAAAAAAAGTGACTGCAATGTTTCAACATAGATTTTCCACACAAAAAAATGCTACTTCAACCACTATTGTAAGCCAATTCAACCACGGAGGTGGTTAAAGTAGCATTTTTTTGTTGTAAAATCTACGTTGAAACATTACAGTCACTTTTTTTAGCAATTAATTTTTTCGGTTTACTCATCCTCTTCTCTAGGATTTCGTGCTCTCACAATAGATGAGTAAAATAACGCACCTATGAAAGTTGTGTGTGCACTAGATTATTGCTGTGAATACTCGAAAGATTGAACATGTCAAACCCTCCCTCCCCCTCCCCGTCTATCCCACCAGGGTATAAATAAAGTAAAACTATTCTATTCTATTCAGCTGTAAAAAACTCGAAAGGTTTTTTCACTAATAATTTATGATGCGATCATTCGACAGGTGTGAGTGCAGAGACTTTAAGGGTTGTCCACTTGGACCTGAAAGGCGCGCCACCGACTATAAGCTACTTAAAAGAATGGCTGAAACTCGTGGCCCGCGCTGGCGCCACTGCCCTCCTCATCGAATACGAGGACATGTTTCCTTTCGAGGGCATTCTCCGCAACGCCTCGGCCACCAACGCCTATACCAAAACAGAGGTAACCTCTTTTTCATCACAGTTAGTTTTTCCAGCATGTGAGATCAAGGATCAACGGCAATCTTTGCCGAAACTGAGACGACACAACCAGTTACTGAAGCACTTTAAACCGCATCCAACGAAACAAAAAGACATTTTCAACATATTATTTTAAGAGGAATCCTTTGTAAGTACCCCAGGAATATACCGATGAGAATATCCTGAAATTATAACCTCCGAATAGTTCAAAATAGAATGTTGAAAGATTTCACGTATTTTCATAGGTATTATTTCCGCTGATACGGGGAGAGATGAGCACTTGGGTTAGAGGAACCAAACTTCGATGGTGGCCCGGCAAAGTTTTCCGTTCGGTTAAACGAACTTTTCAGTCATATCTTAAAAGAGTTGTACTTTCTGTACAAAAGACTGCTGATGATTAGAGCCAAAGTTTGGTTTTTATGACTGTGAGGTTCGGAAGTTTGATTACTTAGGTAGTTGGGTGGAGAAATAGACGTTCGCATAGATGCTCCATCAGGAAATTTTGGTTGGAGCGAAGTTTTCTTAATCCATTCAGAGTATTTTCCGAGGATCGTTCTCCTCTTTGACATATTGTCGCCTTTCAGCCGAAGTTTTGCAAGCGCCATGCAAAGTTCCATCATTTTTGCCGCCATTTTCTTATTTTACAGAGAAATTGTTGGATGAATCTGTTTGAAAATTTCGCTGAATTTTATCTGCTGCAGCACGAAGAAAATTCACTGAAATTTTCCGACAGTTTTGTGAAACATTTCTCTGTAAAAAAATGAAATGGGGGCGGAAATTTTGAAATGTCGCATGGCACTTGTGAAATTTTGGCTGGAAGGCGACAATATGTCAAAGAGAACAATTCTCGGAAAATACTCTGAATGGATAAAGAAAACTTCGCTCTAACCAAAATTTCCAGGAGCATCTTTGCGGACGTCCTTGTAATATTTTCCACGTCGGAATTATTTTTGAGACAACTGGAATTCCTGTTGTTTCAATGGAATTCTTGTTTACTGTCCCCGTTTGGACAACGGGGATTCTAGTTGTCTCAGGTGAGTTGTTAAGGTAAGGATATTTGATACGTTATTTACGTTGATCATGTGGCTCCGATTCAATTGCAGATTTTAGACTTGCTGCAGATCTGCGACTCCTTGGATATGGAAGTAATTCCCCTGATCCAGACATTCGGGCACATGGAGTACGTGCTGAAACTTGCGGATTTCATGAACTTGCGCGAGGTGCAGCAGTACCCGGAAGTGATCTGCCCCTCGAAAGCCCACTCCCGCCAAGTTATCGAGGAGATGGTGAGACAGGTGATGGCTGTCCACAGGACGGCCAGGTGGATACACATTGGCTGCGATGAGGTCTATCATCTCAAAATCTGCCCTGTCTGCACGGCTACCGATGATACCCCCAGGTTAGTGAGGCTCCTGTCATTTTGACTGCATGTTATCGTATTCCGGGGTTTGAATGGTTGAACGTTTGGAAGAGTGGCCTACTACACATTGTATGAATTGGACTGCATTTTGCAATTTGGAACTATAAATTCTGGCTCATCTGAAAAAACACTTATGTGCATAGGGAAACTAACGTCACTTACGTTGTTTTTAAACCGGACCAGAATTTATAGTTCCAAATTGCAAAATGCAGTCCAATTAAAGCACCGAATCAAATTTTTCCTCCTCAATACTCGTACCAAGTGGAAAGCTATTATTCACGCAAAAATAACTTACCGAGCCATATTTTATACATGCACTATTACGACTGATGGAACTTTATCCCGCTTTGTTCATTCAGCCCGCACTCGTCTCTGAGTCGTACCAGCAGCCTGATTGGTGAAATTTTGTGTTTATTGGGTAGACATAGGTGACATGGGTTAAAAGGTGGAGCNAATCCGAACTAGTTTGGATCATATGGAACCACGATTTTGTTCGGTACACACAACCGAATTATTCGGTCTGTTCAACCGAATTGTTCGGTTTGTGCAACCGAACCATAATAAATTCTTACAGTTCGGTTCAGTGGACCGAAAAGTTCGGCTGAACAGACCAAATAATTCGGTCGTGTGTACCGAACAAAATCTTGGTTCCATATGAACCAAACTAGTTCGGATTTACCGAACTTTTTTTCTCAGTGTACAGCCATCGATAGACAACATTTCATACTTGATATTATAGGAAATGTAGGGATAAGGATATGTTTAATAGATAGGGTAATTTGTTTATTTAAGTCGTTACCATTTTCACGCCTAGAGACCCTTCTAGGCGACTTCCTATACCGGGATACTGGGTCATGGAAAACATTTAAAGTAAACATAAGATAGATTTAGGATTTATATTCTTTTTTTTTTTTTTTTTTTTTTTTTTTTTTTTTTTTTTTTTTTTTTTTTTTTTTNTTTTTTTTTTTTTTTTTTTTTTTGATTTTAAGATTTTGGGAGATTAGGATATTAACTACGAACCTTTGGTACACCTCCTTTCATTACAGTTAGTCGTTGGAGCATGTGAGATCAAGGATCAACGGCAATTTTTGCCGAAACTGAGACAACACGACCAGTTAGGTACTGAAGCGCTTTAAACCGCACCCAACGAAACAAAAAGACATTGGCAACATATTATTTTAAGAGGAATCCTTTGTAAGTAACCTAGGAATAAACCGATAGTGATATCCTGAAATTAGAGCATCCGAATACTTCAAACTATAGAATTTTCAAAAATTTCACATATCTTCAGAGGTATTTCCACTAATACGGAGAGATATAGGTAAAGGAACCAAAATTCGATGATGGCCCGGCAAAGTTTACGATTCGGTTAAACGAATTTTTCAGTCATAACTCAAAAGATGTGTGACTTCTTGTACAAAAGACTGATGATGATCGGGGCCGAAGTTTGGTTTTTAGGACTGTGAGGTTCGAACGTTCGATTACTCAGCTGGGTGGATAAAGTGGCGTTTCGAAATTTGGTGGTTTTCAAAGCATGAGGAAAATTTCCAAGAAAATTTCCATCGTACGTTCAGTTGCTATTTTTCTTATCGGATTTCTTTTTGAGACAACTAGAATCCCCGTTGTCGAAATAGAAAAAATTTCATTGAAACAACAGGAATTCCAGTTGCCTCAAAAACAATTCCGACGTGAAAAATATTATATGGACGTTCGCATAGATTCTCCAGGAAATTTTGGTTGGAGCGAAGTTTTCTTTGTCCATTCAGAGTATTTTCCGAGGTTTGTTCTCCTCTTTGAGAAATCGTCGCCTTGTGACCAAAGTATCACACGCGCCATGCAAAGTTTCAAAATTTCTGCCGCCATTTTATTATTTCATAGAGAAATTTTTGGTTGAATCTGCTTGAAAATTTCGCTGAATTTTATCGGCAGCGCGAAGAAAATTCACTAAAATTTTCAGAAAGTTTTGTGTAAAATTTCTCTGTAAAAAAAATGAAATGGCGGCGGAAATTTTGAAACGTTGCATGGCGCTTGAGATACATCGGCTGGGGGGTGAGGATATTTGATAAGTCACTTACGCTTACATCAGGGTTGCCACAGAATTTAGAAAATGAAATTCCTTGACATTTCCCTGACACATTTTGGTGAAATTCCCTGACAATTGAAGATGTGACGGATGGTTAAGAAGGCATAATTGCAAATAGTTTTCAGGCAAAATTTCTTGTTCGAAACCTCAAACCCATTCTAGAAAACAAATGAAGGTGATTTAACAAATTTTCCCTGACATTTCCCGGTTTTCCCTGACTTTGGCAACCCTGGCCTATCACGTGGCTCCCATTCAATTGCAGATTTTAGACTTGCTGCAGATCTGCGACTCCTTGGATATGGAAGTAATTCCCCTGATCCAGACATTCGGTCACATGGAGTACGTGCTGAAACTTGCGGATTTCATGAACTTGCGCGAGGTGCAGCAGTACCCGGAAGTGATCTGCCCCTCGAAAGCCCACTCCCGCCAAGTTATCGAGGAGATGGTGAGACAGGTGATGGCTGTCCACAGGACGACCAGGTGGATACATATTGGCTGCGATGAGGTCTATCATCTCAAAATCTGCCCTGTCTGCACGGCTTCGGATGATACCCCCAGGTTAGTGAGGCTCCTGCCATTTTTACTGCATGTTATCGTTCCGGGGTTTGAATGGTTGAACGTTTGGAAGAGTGGCCTACTACACAATGTATGAATTAAAGCACCGCACTGAAAAAAAAATTCCCGGCGGTTTTACCAAGGTCCGTTGGTACCTTTACCATCTCACTTGTTTTACCAATTATTCGTAATTTTACCAAGACGGACTGGTAAGCTTACCTAAAAACCGGTATTTTTTATGTTTTTTCCAGGTAAGAATACCACTTTTATTGGTAATCAATTCCCGGTAACTTTGCCATTTTATCTCAGTAATTCTACCACAGTCGATGAAAAATAATGCCGTTTTTACCAAGGTCCAGGAAAAATTACCGAGAAAGTTCAAAAATTTTACCGAGAAATCTTGGTAAAATTACCAATTCCATTAATGTTAATTTTACCGAGAAAAGACTGGGATCAAATAGAACCCTGAATTCTTACCCTTGGGTAAGAATTCTTACCCCTGGGGTAATTTTACCATTTTCTTAGTAAATACACCGAGATTTCTTTTTCAGTGCGAATCAAATTTTTCCTCCTCAATACTCGTACCAAGTGGAAAGCTATTATTCACGCAAAAACAACTTATCAAGCCACATTTTAATACATGCACTATTACGACTGATCGATTGGAACTTAATCACGCTTTGTCCATTTAGCCCACACTCGACTCTGAGTCGTACCAGCAGCCTGATTGGTGAAATTTTGTATTTGTTGGGTAGACATAGGTGACATAGGTTAAGAGGTGGAGCGTGATTGGTCGGCTTTGACTTATCGCTGCTTGGTCGTACCTATGTCGGGTGGAACTCACGACAAGCTAAAGGCACCTCTAAAGTTTCCGACAGTATGTCGTCCATTCCACCTGACAAAGGTACGATAAAGCAGCGATAAGACATAGCCGACCAATCACGCTCCGCTTTTTAACCTACGTCATCTATGTCCACCCGACAAACACAAAATTTCAAGAATCAGGCTGCTGATCCATTGACAGAACTCACTCTCTTTTTTCCAGCCAGATATTCGAGAAACACGTGATAAACACGGCGAGTTTCATCGAGATGAACTACCCGGGCGTGAAGACCCTGATCTGGGACGACATGATGCGGCACTGGCTCCCGGGGTACTTCGCCATCTCCAAGCTCCGCTACTGGGTCGAGCCGGTGGTCTGGGTCTACGGCACCGACGTGGCCGGGAGCCTCCCCGACTGGAACTGGTTCTGGTACGCCAAGACCTTCCCTCGGATCTGGGTCGCGGGCTCCTTCAAGGGCGCCACCGGGGAGCTCGCCGTCCTCCCCAATCTCACGTTCCACCTCCAGAATCAGCTCAGCTGGATCCGCTTCCTCAAAACAGGTCTCTTTTTCACCCTGTCTAGATTCCACCACCAGCCTCATAGTTGAAATTTTACAAAGTTCCCACAGAATTTGGAGAATTAAATTCACCGAAAAAAAAGATGCTGTAGTAACATCCCGGATGTTACGGTTGTTAAAAAAATGTGCAACAACTCTTGAATGTTGCTATTAACACTCTGGCAGTTAACGTAGCATAATAGGATGTTACTTTAACAGCCAGTGGTAATGACAACATCCAAGAGTTGTCGCACATTTTTTTAACATCCAGGATGTTACTACAGCACCTCTTTTTTTCCGGTGTTCCCTGACGTTTTCCTGATTTTCCTGACACATTTTGGTGAAATTCCCTGACAATGGGCCTGTGGCAAACTTTTGCTAGAGCTAAAATAAGAGTTGTTACTCATGGAAAGTGTCTCAAAAATCACGATGAGCGCATCGGCAAAGTCCGAAATGCACTCCTTACTTCACAATTTGCATAAGAAATCTATTTATCTGACTATTCTTGACCTCCGAGCGAAATTTCTATCTATTTTTATTGAATACTTTTACTAAACTTTGGACAAAATTCCCTTACTTAGAGATCAAATCTTGGTAAAAGCCATTCAGTGGCTGATTGAAAAATGACAGGCCTCAATAAAAATGACCAAGAATGGTAAACGTTAGGAAGACGAGTGATATCAACGGTGAAACTCGTTGCAGACTTCCCGTCATACTTTTTCTTTGAAATGGACAACTACTCAACGTCAATTTTTGAAAACTTGGGTAATTTTTTTTCTTCGTGCGAAGCAAATTCTGAAAAAATTAAGGAAATGATGTAGACATGTCCTTGTATAAAAATGTGAAACGAGAGCGGAGATTTTTAAACACCGCGAACGAGGTACGTGGTCTGGTAGTTTCATCGTTGATAAGTTTTACTCATGGTGTCTAGAAGTTTTGACCAGGCTTATTCCCTGATTTTCCCTGATTTACAGAAGCTCATTCCCTGATAAGAGACCGTACTTTTCTCCTACTTCCCCGAGATTTTCTGGGGGAAAAGAATACCTATAACTCTCCAGAGTTCCATTTATAAATATCAATTTTAATTCCGATAGCGTTCCGGATGTTTATAATATCGGGTGAATGAAAGCTTCTCCATTCTTTTAATGATTTGAAGTTTCAAATGTGTCATTCAAGCAGTCAAAAATAGCGCTCGATCAGATTAGACCGCCAAATTTGAAAACGAAATGATCCCTAAGCGTTAGAAGTATAGATTCCCGGTTTCTGGAACAGATTCCCTGATTTTCCCGGTAAATTTTCATTCCCTGGTGAATCCCGGTTTTCCCCATTCTGGACACCATGGTTTTACTTAGTGATTCGTAGATGTGTCAGAAATTCCCTAATTTTCTAGATTGCCAGCAACCCTGTGATGCTACTTTAATCCTCGTTCCTTTTCCAGGTTTCCTCGTGAAAGACACGAAAATCGTGGGCTTGATCCTGACCGGTTGGTCCCGCTACGACCACTTCGCCGGACTCTGCGAGATACTCCCTCCTTCGATCCCTTCTCTCGTTCTGAACCTGGTCCTGATCAGCAACTGCCACAAGAACAGCGCCTCGGTGCACGAAACGGCCGAATACAGGAACCTCATAGCGAAACGGGCGATGAAACTGCTCCAGTGCGCTCTGCCGGCCGACGCGGCGAACCAGCTGGACACCGTGCGCTTCGACGAGTGCTCATTCCTCGGCCACGAGACCTACTTCACCATGCAAGAGTACCTGGAAGTTGCGTCGCTGGTCCAAGGCATGTTCGAGGACTTCACGTCGAAAAACGCGTGGTTAACGACTGTCAACGTACGAGAGGGTTTCATGAGCCCCTTCAGGTGCGTAAAATTTCAATTAAATGGCTTTATGAACAGTCCTAGCTGCAGTAGAAGGTCTTAAGGTAGTTTTCTTAGTCTGCCGTGCTAAGGAAGAACGCCGTATGGACATTCAAGAGATGCCAAATTTCCTTCGATAAAATGCTTACTTTCGAGGAAGGCTATGAACATTTTCCCTTGAAATTTTCAGGAACTTTAGGTGAAATTGCGAACAAAATTATCTAAAAAATTGGAGGAAAAATACTAAGAAATTATCCCGGAAATTCATGATTTACCAAAGGAAATTTGGCAACGCCTGAAGGCTCATACGGCGTTTTTCCTTGACACGGCAGTAGTCGTTCTTTACACAGATCCTTTCCTTGAGCAGCCCCGTTTTGCGTAGGTTTGAAAAAGCCCTAAATATAGGATAATATAAAGGACTACTTTTGCCAACTTTGACAGGGCCGGATTTACGTATACTTGCCATCCACCATTTCATTCGTTTTGAAACATCGATAAGAACCATCAAATAGACGTGTTGGAGGAGGAGGATGTATTATACGACGCATTCACTCGTGCTGGGGACATTGCTTGTGAAAACCCTAAATACTAGCAAAAGTTCACAGGACTTCGCGCGAAAGTAAAGTTCCGTAAACCTATCTCTGTGTAAATGAGGCCTTCCTTTGATAAGATATAAACGAAAAAAATGTAAAAGCAAAACATAAATGCGATCTAATAATTTTAGCTTCCGCCGCGCATGTGTTTGGCGCAATGTGTGAGGTATTCCTGCAGTCTTGTAGGCGCTAATATGCATTCGCGCCGACCGCACCACCTATGTTTGACGCAATGCGTGAACTACATAGGGTGTCAGAAAAGTACCGGGACTGGTTCTGTAACTTCAAAACTAAGATAGATACGGACATGATCTTGGTTTCATTTTAAAGATCAACTCAATACCTATCGATTAAGACCAAGATCAGCTCAATCGAATCAAAATTGACCGAGTTAAGGAAATTTGAAATCAGCGAGGAGAGTTTACCCCTACGGTTTTTAAGGAAGATTCTTCATCACCGTAAATCGAAAAATCGGCCTGCAATGTGATGCTTATGGTGTTTTTTTTTTTTTTTTTTTTTTTTTTTTTTTTTTTTTTTTTTTTTTTTATTATTTATTTTCGAGGTGTCATTTATCAACATTTTGTACCACCAAACACAACAGTAGTTGACAGTGTGTATTATTGCAAAGTGCTAAAGGAGTTGAGAATGTACATCCTCCGGAAACGGCCGGGCTTGAAATCTTCGTGGATACTCCATAAAGACGATGCGCGGCCTCACACATCGAACACGTGGCTTTATGAGTAAAAATGGAGTTGAAACAATCCCTCATCCCCCTTGTAGCAATGACTTGGCTCCATGTGATTTTTGGATGTTTCCTGCGCTTAGAAAGGAGCTTTGCGGACGAAGATTCGAATCGAAGACCGAAATCCAGAATGCAGTTCAGAACTTTTTCAACGCCATCCCAGAGGAAGAATTCAGGAAAACAATGTTGGATAAGTGGCAAGAACGCATGAAAAAATGCATCTGGTTTGATGGACGGTACTTTGAAAAGCAAAAGGAAGTATAGAAGATTCGGAGGAAAACGGATACGAATATTAACTTTTTAAATCCTGGTAAGCGAAAAATCTTCCTAAAAAACCGTAGGGGTAAACTTATCTCACTGATTTCAAATTTCCATAACTCGGTCAATTTTTATTCGATTGAGCTGATCTTGGTCTTAATCGATAGGTATTGAGTTGATCTTTAAAGTGAAACCAAGATCATGCCTGTATCTATCTTAGTTTCGAAGTTACAGAACCAGTCCCGGTACTTTTGGGACACCCTATGTATTATATGAGCGTGATATTTTTCATGAACTTAATCACATTCTTTCATTCGAAACACGACGAAATGTGTATTGTGCTTTGCTTTTACCCCTTCTAATTTCAAATTCTTGCCCTCCAGGGTCTGGACGAGGCTGCGTTTCGACGAGTGGACATCGGCCAACAAGCGGACCGCGTTTCTGGAGAAGTTGGTGCGGTCGCAGTTGGTGAGCTACTTCGATGTGTTCACGATCGAGGAGTGGTTTCAACAGCGGATTAAGCCGTTGTACGATAAGTTGGACGAAATGAAGCACCTGGCGGACACCGCGTTACGGCAGACTCACTGGCCAAGGCGACCCTTGGTCAAACGACCCTTCCAGGACTGAAACCGGACGATTTTGACGAGGTGTTTTAGTCAGTGCTACAAATTAAACGTCTATAATTACATTCCCAGAGTAGCATGGTCTTCGTTTTGGAATCAATTGGAATCAAAAGGCACTATCATTGACTATTTCTCAAGGAAAAATTAACCGGTTGCTTCAGGTTCATGACGGCATCCCGTAGGACTTTCAAGGATCTTCCGAGATGTTCTGAAACATTTTCAAGAGTTTCCAAGGATAGAAAAAAATACTTCAGATGCCTTAAAATCTGTCTTTAAACGCGACTTCATACCCCCATTGCCCCCCCTCCCCCCTCCTTTCTATGTTTCTCTGTTGAAATGACACTTTACGTCTCACGAAAATGATCCAAGGTCGGACTGAGCGAGATTATCTTTAAAAATTGGCGATTTATTGATTTGCATCTGATTAAAGAATAAGGATAAAAATAGAATAGGTAAAGGTAGAAGAAGAAGAAGGATAAAATCGTCTCACTTAAGATCATAGTCATAAGTGACGGAAATAACGCGCCCTCAGCGCTTAGCAACTCGCGACGCAACGAATGCAGATGTAGCGAAGATAGCAACGCCGCGACACCAAACAACTATTCCACCTTTGATGCTTCCTATGTTGCATACGCACGCATATGAAGGCGCACTGACTTCTCCAGCTGTCACCGCAAAGCTCACCATCTCGAGACAGATACGTCGGTCGCTAGCTTGCGACTGCACGTCACTGATTCGATTATTTGCATGGATTAAAAAGTTTCGAGAATGAACTTTCGAACATTGCCAAATTTCTTCCAAAAAAACACATGACTTTTCCACGTCAGAAACTAAGTGTTGTTACTTTTTCGCTCCGCATGCGTGCCTACAACAGTATCCCAAAATCTATTATTTGTTTGATTTTCGGTGGTTCCCTTGAGCACGGCAAGTGATTTTGGAGTACGCAAATATTTAAGGGGAGGGTTATATGGAGCAACATTGGTGGAAATCTGAGAATTTCTAAGAAAAACACTCATACAATTTTGAAAGGTTAATCATTTTACACGTAGTGAGGAAAAGGCAACAATCGATGCTGATACAACGTTATTCCTCAGCAGGTCAGGATTGAGCGCCCTTCTTCCAATGCTGTCCTCCACTTGCACTCCAAGTAATAACACCACCAACATAACAGCAAAGCAGTTCAGAAGTTCAGCGAGCAGAAGTTCAGTTAGCAGGATGGAACTACAAATATCATGTACCTACCAGACAGATGCCTAATTTCAAACGACCTATATTCTGCTTGATGACATCAAATTATTGTGATACATAGGGCATACTTACCGACTGAATGGTTATTTAAGAATAAGAGCTTTCACCACATAAAAACGCAGCCAAAAATAAAAAAGATGCGTATGAAATTAGGTGCATACCTTGGTACCAGCATAGCTAAAGACAACTTTTATACCTAATTTCTATTATGTATTATTTACAATGGAAAAAAAAAAAACATTGGATCTAGAGTCCAGACTCTTGGAAACATTGACAAGAAAAAATACTCTTGATTCAATCAGATTTAAGCTTAAATCAAAGGGAAATCTGCTCAAATTAAGAGGCTTGGTTCTTGATTTCAGCAAAAATCCGATTGAATCAAGAGTATTTTTTTTTGTGGATGTTTTTAAGAGTCTCTAGATCAAAGGTGTTTTTTTTTCCAAAGTATGTTCTCTGATGTACCATATATTTTTTTTGTTGAAATTCCTCAATTAAGTTTGCGAAGAATATTCCAAACTGGATGCATTTGCATAACAACCGTACTTACAAATTAAAGTTTTCCTCTTTAGAGAATGTTGCAAAATAATGAGATTATAGGAGGAAACTTGAAAGCTTGAAGAGCCACTAAATACAGAGCATTTAGTCATACTCTAATAATTTCATTATTATCTTTCTAAGTTATATTCGTAAGCATCACAGTTTTTTTTCAAACTTTCTATTGAAAAATAAGTGAAGGTTTTTTTGTTACGCATATATTGAAAATAAAATTTGAAATTGAAGATCATTGTTGATTTATTTTCTTCAGCGTTAGAATCAAGATGGGAAAAATCTTACTTTTAATGAATTTATCATCTACCGGTTTTCTTACTGAAGTTCCTAACTTTTTGCTTAAAATACACTTTCTATCATACAATCAAAACAGACTGTATTGTATATTTTTCTCTTTAAGTAGTGGGTGTCAAAAAACAAGTATCTCAACAAACGGCAGTGCTTGAAAATATCTGCAATCAATTCGTTCTTTACAGAAAAATAAACAAACGCTATGGGGCGAGTGTTTATTCTTAAAGAGGAATAGAAATTTTGCAACATTAGATCCGACTTTTGGGAGAATTTAAAGATTTTCCGTTAACTTTCTAGAGTATTCTCTATCAAAATATGAGATATCAATTTCTTTCATAAGAAAAAAAATAAGAATTGTCTTTAGAGACTAGAGAAACATGTAGACAAAGCAAGTACCAAAACACAAAAGAGATAAAAACAAGAAAATAAAAAAAAAGCTGAAAAAAAGGCAAAAACAAGTAAAAATTTCAGAAGTGTAGAATGCCTCAGCATCTTACGACAGCAAAACTTAACACACAAAAACATTCATAGGAAAGAGAATGCTCAAATGATCCGAACATTAAATTAACATGTTACAAAGTATTCTGATTTGGGTGGCTTTTTTCAATCATAATTTCATTCACTTACTTTCTTTCTTTTTCGCACGATGAATATTTAAATATTCATCAGGCGAAAAAGAAAGAAAGTAAGTGACCATAGTTCCCGATAAAGAAAACAAAGGAGTAGTAACCATAATTTCATTCTTTTGTGTTGATTATAGCGGTTTGAGAAACAGGATGTGATTTGCTGAGACGTTCTGCATTCTACAGATATTTACAAATTATTGCCTTATTTCCCCCTTTCTTCACTCTCCTTTTTTTCCCCCTCTCCGAATACGTTCATGCACTTTTAGACTGCAACAGAAGTTCCGCCATCTCCACAGTTACATTTTAATTCTGCGCTCAACTCAAGACAGCTGATCTTCTGTCACACTTAAGAAGGGTATGAACTCATTTGGACTCTACCTTGCCATCTTAGTTTCGTGCTGCCCGAGTTCACAGCAAAATAACTGGCCAACTCTCAGAGGAGACAGCCTATCTGTCCTGATCCATGCACTCAGAATCAATGCAAAAATAAGGACAGCAGAACTTCTGCCAAAACCTAAAACTCAGCCAATAAATCGTGTGTGAACTCTGGTTTTTTTGGAACTCATCGGGAAGAGGAGCAAGATAAACATGTGAAAAAATCACAATATCTGGAGGTACTTAGGTAATTTAATATGTATAACTTTGTAGCTTACATTTTTCTTAAAACAGAAAAATCAATAATTTTAAAGACACAACCTACTTACTGCCTACACATAGAAAAAACAAAAGAATTAATTTACCTATTTTGTACAGCTTTTTTTTTCTTTTTACAAAACAATTGCTTCATTGGCCTTCCATGAGTATTAAAACACTTTGTTGATGCATACCTGACATCGGAACAGTCGTCAAGAGTAATGTGTTAGAGCTCGTGCATTGTATGTTGAGACAAACGTCAATCTCTGATTAGCTCCGAACTTGCACCATTCAGCAGGTTCATACATGCAGTCAGAGGGCACCACTGATGACTGGAGGCATAAACAATACTTTGACGTTTGTCTCAATGTACGATGCGCGAGCTCTAGATATTTATGACCCAGCATCAACGTGCAAATACATGTCATGATAGCTAGGAATCAAATTCAACAATAAAAAAGTACCTGAGGGATGAACTAAAAGACTGTTAATCAAAAAGCCCCATGAAATTTGGTTTTGGGTTTCAACAAAATTGATTCTTCCTTAGATGGACAAGGTTAAATTAAAGCTATTCAGGTACTCACTAAGATTCTCACTGAGCGAGCAACTTCGATTTGAGAGAGTAAGCAGCATACCAAACTCCGATTGCCAGACTAGTTGCAAGGAATTCTGAGTTGACCCATGGACCTTGGTACGTTCCAGGATGACTAACTGCAATTGTGACCAAAGGTTTGATGGATGAGATGTCGTCGCCATTTCTGAGTGCCTTCCTCAAAGCTACAGCACCTTCTTCGTCGAATAGGTTGACAAAACGTTCTCCGCTGCGGAACTTCTTGATATCTTCAACCCAGCTGACCTGGTAGCGGTCGTTGCCTGTCACTTTAGCCTCTGGGAGGAGCTTGCCATCTACCTCCGCAACAAGCGCAAGATCTTTGACGTTGTTAGCGCACTTGAGACTGAATTCAATGATGAAACCAACATGCGTCAATACGATACCATCTTGTGTGTAGTAAGAAGAGGCCGAGACTTCGGGGCTGACACATGATTCGGCGCTGGATAGCGCAACGAGCGAGAGAAAAACGAACACTGCTTGACTAATCATGGTGACTGACCTAAAACGCACTGGTCTGGGAGATTAAGACGCACAGCAACAAGTAATATCTTGAATTTTCAAGAGCACGGGATCAATTGACGATCACGATTCACGAAAAATTGACGGCCGGCTGCTGGTGTGAAGTGTGAAGTGACAACGCGTACTACACGAAGCTCCACGTCATGACGCTACGCGACGTTGAATTTCGAAACGATTCCTTGAGTTGAGGTTATGTTGACTTCGCGATTCTAAAAACGCGGAATCTCAAAAGAATTTATTTGATACGACGATGAAAGCGAGAAGTTAAAATTAATGAAAAAAAATTAAAATGAAGGAGAGAACACAGTGTGATGCAATGATGAAAACTCTTCAATTCACTTGTAAGTTATGGGGTTTGTAAATAATTCACGGCAACGTTGGAACACTACGTCAACTCGTCAACACTGTCTGTCTTGTTTTGATCCCGATGATGTATATTGCCAATCTCTCCAGTTCTGCTCGCTTTTTTCTGACAATTTTTTAAACATGAAATAATGACTGAATGCAATCTCATACGATATGCAGCTATTTTTAAATTATTATGACCTTTGAATTCGATGAAAATTGATCTTAAGAGAAGATAATGTAAGAATTTAGATAGAGTTTACATAGTGCTGTAATGTTTCATTGGTTGGTGTACATGTGCAGATGCACTTTTGAATCGCTGCAGCTGTTCTGAAGAATTGCAGTTTTTCTTGAACCTGATTGGCTGAGATGTCAGCACAATGCCATTCCTTTATTGTGTTTTTGTTTGTGTGAGTGTGTTTATATTCCCTCCTTTATCAGTTGTCAACTCGTGATTCGTGATCCATCCATTATCACAATAAGCTTTGTTTACACTTCTTTCTATCTCCACCATTATTAAGTTTACCGTTGGAAAATACCTCCATACTTTTATCAATTTATAGTGTTGTCTCTCTTGATGAATCTTTTTTAAAACTCAAAAGTGTGATTTTAAAACAACATTTACCTGCCTGAAGTCTCCAGGTGCTGAGTAACTGCTCTTCTCTGACCATTGTTCATCTCTTTGTTTGCTCAAATAGTTCTTTTTGAGCTGTTTTCTGTTTTCTTGAAATTTTACTGAAGTCCGACCACTTTCTCCTGCCCATCTTTATCAATGTGCCAACGCTCCAACTCACTGTAGTGCCAACGAAATTCTCCGACTCAATTCATCATGGATCGATCAGTACCTCCCATGATAAAAGCTATCGTCTCTAAGCCCATAAGAAACTGCTTCTATTTTTGTTGTGATATGGTCCTTCTTGGTGTAATCATGACACTGCAGGGTGCATGCTTGAATCTTTATGTCATGAACGAATACCCAGACGAAACCCTTCCACATTTCTTATTCCTCGGAGATTTCATTTGCGTTGTGCTTGCCATGGTCGGAATGCGAGCAACATACATTTATCTTCAGAAATCCAAGGAAGAGGAGTCCAATGGAACTCCACCAGATCAAAGCGCTTTTATTTATTCACCAAAAAAATTCCTGAAGAAATTCCCAACGAGCAAATTGGGTGTCCTGCCTCTGAGCTACATGTCATGGTTGGTGTACATACTGTTTTTGCTGGTGAAGATCATCATCATCTACTGGTCTGGACTGTCTCTAAACTTGAAAACCACTGATTTGCTGGGACCTCAAACGCTTAAGGTGAGCTTTCTCTCATTCCGATTTTTCATCACCATCCTCTCAGTTTCCTCAAGGGCAGCAACGGATGAAGGGTCCTCTTTAAGAAATTATGATGATTAGTTTTTTCTTTAATTAATAAAGCAGTAAGAACAGGAAGTTTGCAAGGCTGCGTAACAAAATAAATATGTGGTTTTTGAGTCTAAGAATCAAGACGACCAAGTTTTATAGAAATGCTAATCTTTCTTTGTGAGCTGCTCTAATTCCTGCAGATTCCTGCTCTAATTCCTGCATAATTCCTGTAGGAAATGCTACAGATGAGAGAAGTCAGAATTTCATTAGATCCCAAAGCTTGGTTTAAGAATTGATTTCGAGTCCCATTTAGCCTGGTAATAAATGGTTGTGAAAACCTCACAATGTCTCTGCCAAAATTTACTTTCCAGCAATGTTTTTGCAACGCTTTTATCATGTAATTTTTGGCATTTTCTAAGGAGGCACTTAATATTTGTCATTTAGCTATCATATGGCTTGAAATGCGCTGCTGCTGAGTGCAGCAATTTCAAACTTTACACATGCTTCTGCTGATGTAGAGCCCTTGAACCCTAACTTGTTTTTTTGCTATGTTTATAGATGACAATAGCTTTCACGAGTATCACCTTTATGCTGTTTGTGGAGGCTCACAATTGGGATTTTGTTTCTGCTGAGAGACGTGCTTATGTCACCACTGTCTGTGTCAAAACTGGCTTTGAAATTTTTGATTCGGTTGATATGCTATCTTTAATCACAGACCAGCAACAAGAAGAGGTAAATTGCATGTTGTATGAGATAAAATATTTTATGAAATACTTTCCCGCTCAAGATTCTTTCCTAATAGCAACGACCTTGACCAGGCAATTTTTAAAAAGTCTGGAAGTAGTTGTTTTTCTTTTATTTTTACGGAAAAAACGAGGATGGTCCCTGATTCTAAATCTTAGCTTTCAGAAAGTTATTTTTGTTTCATATGCTGAAAAATAGTTGGGAGTCATTAATAATAACGCATCGTCTGTGTGTCGCAGCGATTTTAGCGTTCGTCCCACCCGTCAGAGTTGGCAGGGCGGTCAAGACATCTTCGCAGTTTGACGCGCCTTCAATGCGGCGAAGCCGCAACATGCTTACTGTCGTGGTCGAATAGTTGTATGTCACGCCTGTACGTAAACGAATTCAAATATCGAGGGTTCCACGCGAAAATGAGCTTGTTTGCCTCGATTGCAACGTTGCAAACCACAAATAATGCTTCAATTTGAGTCAATATTTTTGAAAAATCGGCGCACAGATTCTCTGAAAAATTTACAATAATTTTTCGTACGACTTTAATTGAAATCGCGGGAAATTTCGTCGCGAAATTACATTTAGTCCTAGGCACTGTAAAAATGTTAGTTTTCGGAAATCCTTTTTCGCTATTTTTTGGAAGTAAAATTTAACTTCTGATGAGTACTCATAAAAGTCTTCAAAACAATGACCGCTTTTGAAACAGCTTTTTTCTAAAATAAATTCTCAAAAATTTTTCGTGTTGAAAAACTAAGTACAGACAGTTTATTTCCTAAGATTTTTTTAACACTCTTTCCCTCAAATTTGCCTTCTTGTGAATTTTTTCTTAAAGGAAAACCTGAAAACGAAAATTGAAACACTTTTTAAGAGTTTTCTTTTAAACGTTTTTTGCCTTGTTTCCTCAGACAAAATATATGTATTTAATTTTGAAAAAAAAAAAAAAAATGGG